TATATATATATATATATATATATATATATATATATATATATATATATATATATATAGACAATCTGGAGCGTTTCCTGCACCTGATCTTGCCCAACTAGTTTCGCCAGATATGAGTGAGTGCTTTCTCCGTTCTGTTTGTTTCTTTTCTCCCTATATTGCGTTTTCCTTAGCTCTGGAACCATTGATGATGTGGTTGGCTGCAAATCCCTCCTACGCCTCATCCAATCTTGCATTTACTGACCCCATGTCCATATTAACAACTGGTAGTGCTGGAGCTCCAAGACCCCCAGTTGAAATCCCCCAGCAGCCACGCTTCCACTACACTCGTGGACCACGTAACAAGCGTCGATCAAACCCTCAGAAGCAACCATCGCCACGAGCAGCCGCTCCGCCGTTGTCGTTCAGCCCAACAGATTTCCCACCATTGCAGTAAATCGGGTATCGAAGAAGATGAACTGTTACCACACAACACTGGTTCAATATCTTTCAAATGGCTGCTTTTCAGTAGCGTCATTCATAACTTTAAAGTTCAAGTACTTTTAACTGTGCTATCACATGTTTTATACCCATCTTTTTTTAGTATAATAGATTGACACTTTCATGCGGTAACGTGAACTGTTTGTTTGATCTCTTACTGCTTCTATATCTTCTATATCATCTATGATCCATTATGACGAAAAAACAAATCTAACAACAGAACCTTATAATTTACATTGTCGACCGCGTTTCAACACACGTGGATATAGCCTTTCAGAGTTGATGGTTCGCCATCGCCTTCGAAATTTACTACGTTGTTTTTATGTGCTCAATGTATGATTTATACGTGTTGCTTGGAGAAAAGAATAAATTGTAGAGTGTTTTCTGTTTATTAGGGTAGCATGGTATGCACCATTTATCATGGTCAGTGCGCTTTTGGTATTTAATTTGATTATTGAAGAAGATTTCGGTAAGGAATCAGGCTTTTGTAGTAAATTTTTATAGTGTCGTGCATCGTTTTCTTTTTACAGAATATTGTAAACACATCTATCCGCCTTTTGCTGTATATTTTGGGTAAAACGCTAACTTTATCAATTTCCAATTAGTGTTTTTTATTCATTTGCTACTTCACTTTCTAAAAGAATATTTATCTAGTTTGCGTGGTGGACCTGAGAG